CATTTGTTTTAAGGAATGAAATGAAAATAATAATTTCCACTCACTAAATCATTAGCTCGTAATCGTTTAAGAGCTGAGCATGTGTGTTTGTGTGTATGCATAGTGTACTACCACACAATTACAACCCCATGTAAACATGAACAAGGGTGATACCAGAATTATAGTATTTAAGCTCTAACACCATGAATTAGGTAGGCAGTGGTGGTGCACACCTTTAATCCCAGCACTGGAGAGGCAGAGGCAGGCCTCTGTGAGTTTGAGGCCAGCCTGGTCCATAAGAACTAGTTCCAGGACAGATTCCAAAGCTACAAAGTTGTAGTGAGGAGCTGTGGGCTGCGTTCCCGCTGCCCGGCTCCCGGCTGCCTGGCTAGCTTTACACCCAAAAATAACAACACACAAATTGTATTCATTTAAACGCTGCTTGGGCCATTTTATCTAGCCTCTTCTTGGCTAACTCTCACATCTTGACTAACCCATATCTAATAATCTGTGTAGCACCACAAGGTGGTGGCTTACCAGGAAGATTCTAACGTACATTCATCTTGGGCTGGAGCTTCATTGTGTCTGACCTGGAGAGGAGAGGCATGACGTCTGCCTCACTTCCCTTCTTCCCAGCACTCTATTCTGTTTATTTCGCCTAATTTTCTGTCCTATCAGGCAAAGCAGTTTTCTTTATTGATTAACCAATGAAACAACAGATTGACAAATGACCTTCCCACATCAACAAAGAAACTCCGTCTCAGAAAAAAAAAAATGGATTAGAGTAATCAACCCAATAAGAGCTCTCACTGACCCTTCTAGTTCCTTTACTATTACCCTTTTCATGTTCAAATACTTGCAACATAACACACATAATAACGTATAATAACATATAATGTGTGTTATGTATGGGAAGAAAAAGTTATCTCTCCCAAGTTTCTGTCCTTAAGTGGACAGTAGATAGATAGATCCTTAAATTATACTCCCTTTTTCCCAAAGGAAGCAGCAAATGGAGAGAGCTAAACACACTAACACTCAACCGTGAATCTCTGTTACCACCCCTGTACTGGGAATGAGCTTGTCAAGAAAAAAAAGGAAGAAATGGGGGAACAGGAATGTCTAACCCCAGCTCTCAGAAGGCTGAAGCAGGATGACAAATGCCACCCCAGCCTGAGCTGCACTCTCTGAAACTCTGAGAAGACCTGACGGAGGGAGAAGGGGGAGATGGGACGAGGACATGAGGGGAGGAGAACTGTTGCTTTTTACCAGTCTTCTTCCTAAAGATCAATAGAAGCAGCTAATCTTATGTGATCTTCAAAAGCAGGAATGTCACAAACACATCCCACCCCTCAGACTTAAGTAACTCTGTTAGCGAAACACCAGCTCCACCCCTCAGGATTATGCTCAAAGTCTCTAACTGAACAGCTTACCATGCACAGCTTCTAAGAATCCCTCTTCTGATTCCCAACCCTTTCCTACATCCACACTTCCTGATGCTTCATTAAGAGCCAGGGAGCCAGCTTAGAGTAATGGTGTCACTTAATGGCACTTGCACCAAGCCTGCCCACCAGCTTGATCCATGTAGCTGGGTGAACTGACCTCCTGAACGCAGACCTCCCTTCCACCTTTGCACACCCTAATGTGTGCATTTTAAAGGGCCATCTCACTTCCACAGTTGCTCCTTTGTGATGGTTAGCATTATTACGTTTGAGACCAAAAAGAAAAAGAAAGTGCCTCTAGCATGCAAACCCTAGCTCATACAGGCTGTGCCCTATCATCCTACTTCCCTTTTTTCCCCAGATACTGAATACCCTGCCAATCCAGTTCCCTATTTTCCTGGATGTTGAAGATTGTTCTTAAGTTGACTGACCTTGTAAAATTTGCTGTTCTTACAAAACAAAAGGTCCTAAGACTGATATTTTTGCTTTTGTAATCAAATTTGCTTACTCTGATCAAAAAGACAATCACAAGACCCAAAATTCTAACTTCTAGGGTTTTGCCTTTATAAGCCCTGGACTGATATGGTAAGGGGCTGCATCTTGGAAGCACTCTCAGGTATGTAAACATGGTGCCAGGTTTGGGTGCTGTACCTAAATAGAAAGTCTCTTATTAAAACTTATTTGTGGTCATGGCGAATCTCTGAGCAACCCCAGACTCATGATACCTTAATTATAGATCATATATATTTTATATATAATATAAATATATATACATATATATATGGAGAACAGTCAAACCTAAAATTTTACTTTTACAGTTAAATAAACTTTCCATTTGTTTACAACATGGAACTACCTTTATTCTATGCCTGCAAATCAGGCCTGATATCAAAAAACAAAATCCATACAAACTTTTATCTGATTACTCCAAGTTCTACTTTATTATAAAAAAATTAATTTATTCCTATCTACAAAGATATCTAAAGCATTCTAATATCATTTTTTTTAAAAAAATCAAAGAAACATATTAAAATACTCAAAGTATTCAGACGTTATCTTGGGATTTTAACAAAATCTTAGTCCATTCATTTCAGATTTATGTTCACATAGGTACCTACACTCAGCCACAGCAACACACGGAATAAAATGTACAACAGTGTTCAGCAGGACTGAGATGGTGCGTGAAGAGCAGTGCAGACCCAGAGCTCATGTTCTGTGAAATGGGATTTTCAGTTTTGAGCTGTGTTTCTCTTTAAAAAATAACCCTTTGCAACTCCAGGGATGTAGTAGCTCAAGAAGAGAGCAGTTGCCTTGCCTCAGTGAGGCCTTGGGTTTGTCTAGCACAGGGGGAAAAAACGGAAGTAACACCATCACTGCAAGTACATGAAATGCATGTTTAGCTAAGTAGAAATACGTTATTATTTATTCTTTCTATTCAGCACAGATACATTAAGCAGTATTTCACAGCTTAATATAAAAGATATTATTGCAAAACAATTGGTTATATGATAATCTATGATCAAGAATATTTTTTGAAATCTCATTTTAAGTGATTAGATACTGTCTTCCTTGTCCCTTAATGCCTTAAAAGAAAATCCACAAGAACTATAAACATGACTGCTCTATATCTTTTGTAAGAAACAAAACTATATTGTTGTTTTTTGTATTTCTTAATTTTATAAGCTTTATTATAAAAAAAATGCAAATAAAACTCACACACCAAAACCAAGCAGGCTCAAAGTCTATACATCTCAGTGAACTTCTGTACAGTTTTAATATCAATTCTGAAGCCATAAGCTTCACATTAGATTTTACACATTCACTTAATGGATTTATTCACCATTAAAAACAAAAAAAATCCACAACCGCGTTAGAACTAGAAAAACAATTAGCTTTACATCCTTTTTCATATCTCATGTCCATTACGTACACTCAGTCTTCCCTAATCCCCTAATATTTACCCTTTCCTACTGTTATACTGTATCTTCGTGTGTGTGTGTGTGTGTGTGTGTGTGTGTGTGTGTGTGTGTGTGTTTGAGTAGATTCCCCATATGTTAGAAAACATCTAGGTTTTTTTCTTTCTGAAATTATGAGCCCTCATTGAATATCTTACATTCTAAGTCCATCCATTTTCCTGAAATTTTTTTTTATTATTCTTTGTGTCATTCACATCATTCCTCCCGGTTCCACCCATCTTCCTCTCCACACCAAAATAAACAAAATAAGATTTAAGAGAAGGAAGAAAAGAAGGATGAACAGACAAAATAGGAAAAATCTCATCATGGAAGCCACAGTGTAACAGTGAGTTGCTCAGTAAACCCCTTTATGCACATAAATTTACATGTAGGTGTTTATCAAAAAGAATCATTGTTCTGGTTCGAGGCCCGTGGTCTCTGCTGCACCATCGACAAGGAGCCCTCACTGGGACTCTTCCTAGACAACAGGTTGCTGCCCTGTGTCATGGAGACCCTATAGTCCTGGGTCTACAGGGCTGACCCTACCCTCACCCAACTCCCTACCCCCATGTTCCAGCAGGTCACAGATGGGCTGGATATTGGGGTTGGACAATATATAATTCTGGTTCTGGGCCTGGGTACTTTCAGCGTTTGTTGGCCTGCCAGCTCCCCCGTCTTTGCCACGATAGTGGGCTCTCCAGAACTGCCCTGGCTAGTTCACCCCCTACAGTGATGAGCAATGGGCAGGGCCAATTCTGGAAATTTTTGTGTGTGTTTGTGTTGTATGTATGTATATATATATATTAAAATATATTAAAAGAAAGGAAACAAACTATCTTTTTTCATTATACATACCAATCCAAGTTCCCACTCCCTCCCCTCCTCCCATTCCATCCACATACCCTCCCACCCCACCCCTTCCAATCCTCATAGAGGGTAAGGCACATTGCTTTGGGGAAGGTCCAAGGCCCTCCCCACTATATCTTCTCCTGGAAATTTTAAATTTTACTTTTCTTTAGAGCTGAACAGTGTCCATAATATTATCCATTCATCTGTTGACTGACAACGAGGTTGATTCCAATACTTTGCTGTAGTGAATAAAGCAGCAATAACCATGGACATGCAAATATCTCTATGTTAGGGTATACAGTTCTCTGGACATGTGCCCAGGAATGAAATCATGAGGTTACACAGTAATTCTATTTTTAATTTTTTGAGGGATCTCCAAACTGATTTCCACAAAGGTTCTATTAATTTGCACCCCCACCAACTGTGGATAAACATTGTCATTTAAGAATAAACCCAACTTAGCGGGGCGGTGGTGGCGCACGCCTTTAATCCCAGCACTCAGGAGGTAGAGGCAGGCGGATCTCTGTGAGTTAGAGACCAGCCTGGTCTACAGAGCTAGTTCCAGGACAGGCTCCAAAACCACAGAGAAATCCTGTCTCGAAAAACCAAAAAAAAAAAAAAAAAAAAAAAAAACTTTCCATAGTCAAGTCTACTTGAAAACAAAACCAGGAGTCCCATTTCTCCTGCTCCCCCACCCTTTAGCAGTGAGAAGTGTTTACCAATGGAGAAGACTAGACAAAGAAACTGGAGCCTTCTGTACATTACACAAGACACTTACCCGTTTGATGGGTCTAAGGCAATAGCTCTGGGTTGATCCAACTCTTGCCAAAATAAAACTTTTCGTAAAGATCCATCTAAATTAGAAACTTCAATACGATTAGTTTCAGAATCTGTCCAGTACAATTTTTCTCCAAGCCAATCACATGCTAGCCCATCCGGGGACAATAATCCAGAAACGACAACATTCTGTACACTCTCAGTTTTGTTAAATTCTGTTCGCTTAATGGCTTCTTCACTGACATCACTCCAGTATATCAAGCCATGACCAAACACAAAGTCCACCGCAGCTGCATCCTCCAAGCCTCCAACTACAATCGTTGCATTCTCTTTGCCATTTGTAGCATCAACCAATCTCAAGTCCCGTCTGTTTGCATAAAGCAACAAAGGGGCCGCTGAAACAAAAAGAAAAATACATAAGCAAGAAAGAAGAAAACATATCAAATCTTATAAATTGGGTTTCAAATCAGCATCTGTGACCAAATACTATCAAAATTAAAGTGGGAAATAAAGAGGCTAGAGAGTGGTTCAGCAGGTAAGAAGGCCTGCTGTTCTTGCAAAGGACCTGGGTTTCGTTCCCAGCACCCACATCAAATGTTCCACAACCACCTGTAACTCCAGCTCCAGGGATTCCATGCCTTCTGGGTCTATAGACACTACACATGTGGTACACATAAACTCACACAGTCACACATCCACACACATAAATAAAACATACTTTTCTTTAAATGGGAAGTAAATCAATAGTGAACTGGCTAAAATCTTTTCACATTTAAAATGTTTTTCTAGCACTTTAAAAAAGAACATAATGAGAATGGAAATAAGTTCCACCCAGGTAGAACTTTCTTATTGAGTCTGTCAGACACAATTTAAAAACTTATACATACTAAAAAAGAGTGACTGGAACACTCATGCTCTACTAGTAGGAAAAAGTTGGCAAGTGTTCGGTTAGCTGTCCGGTTACAGAGCTGGTGATCAAACCCAGGGTGCTCCAGTATGCCATGCAAGCACTTCACCATGAACTACTGCCTCAGTCCCAGCTGACAGTTTATTAATAGCTAGATGTACAAATGGCCATATGATCCAGCTACTACACACTTAAGTATTTACTAAGAAAAAATAAATACATATCAATATAAACACTTACAAATAAATGCTCAAATAAATTTGTTTGTAATATCATAAATTAGAATCACCCCAAATGTAATCAACAACTAACAGTGATATATTACTAGAATAAGAAGGAGTAGTACATATTTGCAGTCCCAGCACTAGGAATGAAGAGACAGAAAAATCAGAGCTCAGTTTTCCTTGACTACATAGGGATTTTTAGGTCACTATGAGCTAAAAGAAGCTGTCTCCACATTTCCCACATGGGTATAAGGAAACTTATTTCGATTATGAAGACAGCTTCACAGCTGTATGTACATATCAGACCTTCCCACATTTTATGCTTTAAAAAAACAACATCTATTGACACACAATAGTAGTATCTTAATACAACTTAAATAAGCAGCCTAGCAGAACCTAATACTATAACTTTTTATGCAGTTCAATATTAATAATCTCTAACTAGATCTAATATCACAATTAAACATAAACCCTATCATAGAGAAATAACATTTAACTTTGATAAAGTTGAGTTGCTAGGACCGTAATAGTATAAATTCTGGGGTTTTTATTAAATATATATCCCAAGTTTCTGATTTACTTTCCTAGTATCAAGCAGCAATTAAAAACTGAGTGCCACTGTCCTACAGAGCTTCCTGTATTAATGGGAAGTCATCACTACACAATGAGTACCCATCAGCCATATATGATCACAGAGCACATAAAATACAGCTAATACGATACTAATTTTTCACTTTATAAACATTAGTTCATTTAAACTTAATGAAAAAATATGGGTAGTGTCAGCAAAAGAAAGTGATGATCTAGAAGCTAGAACAAAGGCCACAAACAAGGCAACAAGAATGATAATATAATCCAATAATCCATGATATTCTTTCATAGTTACATAAGGTCTAAAACTGTTCAAAGCCCAACCCAAAAACTATCGACACTAACAATTTTCTTTTCAAAAGTATTTATTGGCCAGGCAATGGTGGTTCACACCAGCACTCAGAAAGCAGAGGCAGGTGTATTTATGTGAATTCAAAGCCAGCTTGGTCTACAAAGCTGAGTTCCAGGACAGCCAGAATTGTTAGAGAAACCCCGTCTCGAAAAAAACAAAAATAAAAAAATTATTTATTCTTATTTTATGAGTGTTTTGTTTTCAGTAAGTAGAAAGAGATTTATATGATCTGAAAATAAGCTTCTCTGTGTGTGTGTGTGCGCGCGCGCGCGCACGTCCGTGCGCGCACTCTCTGCCTACACATCTGTTCACCACATGCATGCCTGGTGTCCACAGAGGCCAGAAAAGGCTGTCATATCCCCTGGAACTGGACTTATAGATGGCTGTGAATATTAGTAATCAGAACCAGGGTCCATGTGCAAGAATATCAAGTGAGCTTGACTATCCACCCCTAAAAGTAACCCCCCTTTTATAAATTACAAATATTACTCTAATTTGAAAAAATAAGTGGATCATAAAACTACAAAAAATATAATGGTTAAGCCCATGTTTAGAACTGCACTGGTCAAACAAGTGTTCTATTCATCTGTTAGATAACATGAATTTCTGATCCAACCATACTGAAACACAGGGTTCTCCGTCAAACACCTGTGGGCAACCACTTCACTTGAGAAATAAACCAAGTCCTTTCTTCTTACTGTGTGTAACTACTACAGACTTTAGATTCCCTGAACTCATGGCAGACTTGCACACATCACACTAATGAACCAGTCCCAATAGTCACTATTGAATAGTTTTATATTCAGCTTTTTATAGTATAAGCCAAACAGAAACATCAGAAAAAACATTCCTATTAGTGAAGGGTTCAATGCCAAAGGCTGCAGAAAACTAAAAAAGAAAAATTTCCCAGGACACTTAACCCTTCCAATTCAAGAGTAAAAACAATGTAATAGTTAACAGATACCTTCTTTATGGCTCTATCATTCATGAAAGAAATATACACTAAACTTGTTTATGGCATTAAGTAACAAGAGACTTGTCAAATTTTAATATTTCCACTGAACAGTTTTCTCTACAAAAATCTAAAGAACTTTTCGGGTAATTTAAAGTCTCATGGGTTTTACGGGTGTCACTGGAGTTGGAGGAGACCAGAAGCCAATAGCTTTAATTCTGTAGCGCTAGTTATGGTTGAGCATTCTGGGGACTGGACATTAACCTGTTAACAGCTCTACCTGTGATTGCAGGTTTCTAAGGACTGTACACTAACCTTAACATTAACAAAAAGTCCACTGTACAGTTACCCTTCTGATGCATGAATAGGGTCTACAACATCGCCACCCGTATCTGCTGAGTAGTAGGCAAAACTAATGCCATTTATATCTACTAAATGCAACAGACTCCACACACTCGTTTCCTGTCAGCATGCACAACACACACCGTGTGCTCACTCCACAATGTTTACCTGACTTCATTCAAACAGAATTCAAGCAGAATTCAAACAGCAGTCACATTTCTTTAGCAAACACTTGCAGGAGCTCAAGAATCTGTTCTCCTTCATCAAATCCCTACCAAACTCCTTCCTGAACCTCCTCTGCACTACAGATTCCCACACATTACTCCTCCAATGGATGTGAGGGCATCTGTTACCCCACTGATCTTCAGGGTGGGTTTGGCTGATCTGGCTGGCTAGGCGAGTGTTGCCTTCCTTGCTCACTGCTTCCATGTGCATCCCTCCCAAAACTGTGCACTCGGTCAAAGAGTGCACAAAATACTTTTATTCACAAAATAAAGGAGGACCAGTCTTCAGTCAAAGGTACAGGAGTAGCTGCACTCCCCTGCTAGGATCTCCAAACAAGCTCTCAAGGTCCACTTAATTTCATTTTCAAATCAACTTGTAAACACAGTGTCTCAGGAAGAAGGGTTAAAGGCCAGACATCCCCCCCCCCACCCCCGCTTTGATGGAAACAAGGTCTTGCTCTGTAAGCCAGAATGGTCTCAAACAGTCAAAATTCTCCCTGGGTTATAGGATATAAGCAGGGGTCACATCTTCAACATCTTACTTATACTTCTCAAAAAGTTATCTGGGCCCTGGTGTGACACACACACCATCAATCCCAGCACAGGAAGTAGGTGGATCTCTGAAAGTTTAAGGCCAGCCTGATCTGCATAAGCATCTGTAGGCCAGCTAGGGCTACACACCTATTTCCCCTGTTCTCAGAAGAAGGTGGAGAATGTCCTCCCTTTGTGGGATCAAGCAACATTTCAGGTTCACTCTTTCTGCAACTTAGCTCCATCAGCTGCTCCACCTCTTCAAAGGCTCGTGGCAAGCTCAGGTATCCAACACTAACCTTGCTTACTATCAAGAAAATACTTCTCTCTCCTAACTACACCTCACACCACCATCCACTCTGTTAACGTCTTTAACCAACCTCATACACACTACTCAACTAAACCTGCAATCTTCAAGGCTTAAATAAAACCTAACTAACAACCTTTTCTTGGTTCTTATTCTTTACTTCTCTACAGCAATTGCTATAGTCCTACCAGTAGAAAGTTCTCTCCAAACCATACTACCTATTATTCTGTCTGTTTCAATTCTCCTACTTCTCAGACATAGTATTCCGAGACCTCTAGTCCCCAAATAAGAGAATGAAACAACTTCCCAGATTCTCCTGATCATCACGAAACTCTACACAACTTTCTAAGCCATCCTCTTCAACCTAACTTATCATCTTCTGTTCCCCAGGCCTTTCTTGGGTGGGGGAGGGGGCTGCAATCTTCCTATCATTGACTTAAAACTCATTACTTTTCCCTACATAAAACTCTTCAAAGATGCTACAACTCTTTGTGGGGTGGGGATGGTATAGGTCAGTGTGTGCAAGTGTGGGATGGCTGTGCAAGCCCAGGCATGCAGACATGTGGACACCAAATGTGGACATCAGAAGTCTTTCTGAGACAGGATCTCTCGTTAAGCCCAGACTGGCTGGCCCCAGTGCTGGGGTCACAGCACACCTGGCTTTACAGGTGCATGAGATGCACACTCAGGTGCTCACACTGGCACAGAGGCACTTTTACATAGAGACATCTCCCCAGCCCAGGTCTCCTAACCTTACTAAGAGCGTGCCTCCTTTTTCCCCTGCCAATTACCATGTAATTAACTCTTTTTTTTACCATTTCTGTAAATGTGCCCCCTCATTTCTAGAACCACTCTGTTGCCCTAGGCTTCATGAGCTCACATCTACACTACTCTAACAGTGAATGATCTCGACATTGGAATATATGGTTGTGCTTCACCCAACTCAAAAGCTTTCTCATTCCCTT